TTAAAAGAAATTCAACATCGCTGCAAACTACTTACTGACTGGAGTGACTTGAAATACAATAACACTCAAAGGCCTGACATTTTGACTGGACAAAATGTGAAATGGCAGCCCTCAAGAAAGACACATAAGGATCAAATCATCTAACCCTCTCACTAATGAAAACATCTCCAAATCAATTTTTAAGAGTTACACCTATTTCGAAAAGCTTCACATGTTGAGAAAAACCTTCATGCCTGAGAGCCATGAACATGCACCCCAAAACTGAAAAGTACTCTTGGCTAAGTCAGTTTTAAATTCTGTTTCTCCTGCAGATTCCATCTTCAACAAAAACCCTCATCCTCCTGAAAGTCTTCCTGCACATCCTCTTCCACGTCATCATCATCCTCCCCCTGGCCTCCTGCAGTCTCCGCCCCTATGCCACGCCCAAGTGGGATATCCAAGGCTCGGTGGACAGCCTCAATGGTGCGCATGTTGACATAATACGCCATGTTGACCGTGGGAATGCGGCCGCGCATGTCCTCCATGAAAGCATAAGCCTGCGGGTGGAGAAAATAACTTTGAAAAGCGACATGTGTCATATTGAAATAACAAACTTCCTCTCCGTTAGCATCTTGCAAAGAACTCTACTGAATTCTTCTAAATCCTCACTAGGATGCTCATCCTTTGATTTTTTAGTGGTATTCATCAGAGCATTATTATAACAGATAACAATTTTCTATTTTCTAAATCCTTCAACTGGGTTAAGCAACAGGTACTGTACATCTGAAGGGGGCATGTGGCCAAGTGGTTAAGGTCTGTGGCTTCCAATCATAGGGTTGGAGGTTAGAGTCCAGCTGCTGGCAGTATGTTGTGGCCCTTGGCAAACCACTTCACCCCTGCTTGCCTCTCTCCACCCAGGAGTATAAATGGGTACCAGCATTAGCTGGGAAGCAACCTGCAATGGATTGGCGTCCCATCCAGGAGGGAATAGAAATATTCATGCCACGGAAACCGGCCTGATGAGCTAAATTGGCTTGGACCAGACTTGTTGCAGTTCATCTGAAAGTATTGGCTGTGGCTAATGGAAACACAACTTTATAGAAGCCACTGATGACTGGCCAACAGCCACTGACTATTGATGTCAGTGTTAATGTTAGCCACAGTCATGACGTTCAGGAGCAGCACTTCTACCTTCTTGAAGTTTTCCTGTCGAGCATAGTGCTCTATCATCATGCCGAACACGTCTCCAATCCGGACGGCATTATCCAAATCTGGCTCCTCCAGCAGGATTTGGCACTGCCTCATGGCCTCATCAGGATCTTCATCATACACTCTGGAGAGATAGGAAACAAGACGGGAGAAAATGAGAAACAAAAAGGAGTTTTCTATGTGCATAAATTTACAGACTGTGGATACTGAAACACTACCCTACTGCCTAATTAGCATTAATTGTTTAATGGCAAAACATGCCATAATCAGATGTGTTGTCAAGTCACATTACAAGCCACTAACAACGCAATCCTAAATCAATCACAAGGCACTCACAAGTCAAATTAGTATAACCCACAAGTCAACAGCAAGTCAGTAAGTCATTCTTAGGTTTATCCCATGTCAAATTACAAGCCATTCACAAGTCAGTCATGTCATGTCAAAAGTAAACTCACAAGTCAAATCAAGTCAGTAACTCAAATCACAAGTCATACACAAGTCAGTCATGTCACCTGTCAACAAGTCAAATCAAGTCAACAGCGAGTCAAATTACAAGTCAAAGTCAATAATAAGTCATTTAAAAGTCACAATGCAATAAAAAGTCTGGTCCAAAGTAACAGGTGATAAACAGCAAAGGAAATTGTTTAATTGAATTGCTCATAATACAAATCTAGACTGGACAACTTGAAATGGACTCCAAACAGACTAGTCAGAACCTTTATGAAGAGGCAAAACAAAACCAGAAAATTTCAAGATGTACTTGCGTCGGAGAGACGTTAAAAAAAATTGTAATTAAAAGATTAAAACTAGAAAAGCAAATGCAAAAGGAAGGGAGGTTTTAAAAAGATCAGAATACAAGTCCTCTTGAGAGGAAAACACAGCAAAGTTCCCATTCCTGTCAATTATTTCCTGCATCACATGCATCTGCCTCTTAATTCGCAACTTTCAAACATCTGTTCCTTCCACTGATAATAAGCATAATCAGTATTTTATTGATCAACTATTGTACCTGCGTGCAGTGACAAACTTCTTGATGAGTCCGATTCGGCTCTTGAGAGCGCCGAGTTTCTCCTCTTGGAGAGAGGCATTCTTCATCTTGGCTTTGCTCAAACATTTGTAGGCCTCGCTGAGCGCACCTAAAGCCTTGTCATAGTTCTGGTACTCGTCAATCTCAACCTGACAAATCAAAGATTAAGAAAAAAAATACACAAACTGGGTCTATGAAAAAATGTACGCAAAAACAACCAAAAAACCAGAGATTTCATTGCAGAGAACGTTTTCAACATGTCATCCAACAAACTGCTCCTGCATCTCCATGTACGACTGAAGAGTTGACTAAATGTCTAAAAAGTGTCCAGAGCGTGAAATTACAGTCCGACATCGGACATTTTCCGAGCACTTATTGTGTTTGTCCGAACAAAATCAAAGGTGATGTGAATTTTGACCCCTGATACAGTACGTTACAACTTTACCTTTTACATAATATGGCACTGTCCATTGGCAGATCAGAAGATGGTAATGGCAGAACAAAATTGATTGTATTGTGACATTTTGTCCGAGCACTTTTTTGGTCTAATTTCGTGCCCTGAGTGTCTATAAGTTTCGTTGAACATTTATCAAATTAAACATAGAAAGTTAATTTGTAAATTAAACGACGAAACATTTCCATTCCTGGAAAGTTTTGGCAGTGTGTTTAACATGTTAGCATGTTTACTAACCTGAGCACAGGCATCATAGAAACCAGCTAGCGAGTCCAGGGCTCTACCCTTGGTGTAGAACCCAATGATATTCTTCATGATCTCTGGATCCTTTCTCCAGTCCAGGGATTGCAGGTAGTTGGCCGCCATGACGTAAATCTCCTTCTGGCGGGACACGCCAGCAAAGAAGATGATCTTCTCTGTGTCGCCAGATTTTAACAGTGCTCTCATGGCCTAAGACAAGACAAAGAGTTGCACAACTGGTCAATTTCAATTCATAAGGTTTTCAGATTCATCATTCGCAGAGGTGGGATACGACTGTTCTCGTGGAAAACTAGGGAAGCTTAACTAGGGAATAGCTACTGTCTGCCCGTTGTCCAACTGTAAGACAGTCTCCCGACAGTTTATCAATCTGCTCAGCAGACCAGGCCCTTGAATTTCTGCTAACTGTAGCCGAAAATGCTGCAGTAATGGTTAATGCATTTCAAGTATAAGCACGGAATTCTGGCTTGTGCCTCTGCACGGTCCCACAACTAAAAACTGTGTGCTTGCTGGGTTTAACCAGAATAGACCAACAAACCGAAGCGCACTATTTCATAAACCACTGAAAAGTCAGGTTCATTTTCGAAATTGTTTAGTTTTAGCGGTAAGTTCACATCTTCAATGAAAAGCACACACCTTGACCTTGTTGCCAGCCTGGGTGTACTTCTTGGTGGCGAGGTGATAGGATCCCTGCAAGAAGCAGATATCGGCCACCTTCTCCAGCAGCTTGAGGCGCATCTCACTGTTCTTGTTGTCCTTGGACAGGGTCATCTTCTCTGCCAGGCGTTCGGTGATGGGCACACTCTGAGACTGACAGAGGTCTAAGGCCTCGGTGTACTACGAGCAGAGAAAAAAAATGAATGAATTCACTTCAGCAGGCTACCTAGGGCTGAAAGCCATGACCAACTGTTTCATAGTTCCATGTTTAATACACCATGCATTAGACTGACAAACCATCAAATCTGCCAGGGAAGGAATTTTGTCATCGGGGGGCAAGGCCACTTAGGCCTTGAACCCATTTCCGTTTTAGTTTGTAGTTAGCAAAGACAATCCAGTTACCAACTGTGATATAATCAAACAAATTAGGAGGACAAGGTATGAGCAAGTTCTGAAAAGTACATCCTAGAACTTACTCTACTGAAACAAAACAATACCTTGTAGAAGCTTTTCAACTGTAGCTGTATCTGTCTACACAAACCTTCCAAAGTTTTTACCACATGGACTTACTCAAAAGAATAATCTAAAAACAGCCTTTTCTAGACCTCAAAACATTCAAACAGTAACTAGGCAAACCTTAAGTTTTCTTGATTTGATAAGTCTACACTTACCTTCTTGGCAACCACCATCAGGTCTACCGCCTTGTCGTACTGCCCATGCTCCTTGAAGAACTCTGCACAGCGGTTCAGGAGAATGGGATCCGTTCTCTCATCCAGGTCTTCAGCAATAAGCTGGAGGGCGCCAAACTGCTGGGTCTTGAAGGCCAACTCCAAGGCCTTGGAGAAATGCCCGCCCTGAGGGGTAAGAGAACTCGGGAATGTTAGTCACCCTTCAACTGGCCTTGGTCACAGCATGAAGTAGCCTCTTTACTTTCCCACAGGCAACAGGTTGTACTGTCTTACGTAACTATAAAGCCTTATACTCTATGGGAATTTCAGGAAGTATGGATGGAAGAGTGGTCTTGTACATTTGGTTGGTACAACCAACCTGACAGGGAGAGTTATTTTGCAATCACAAACCAGCTATGGCCACATTTTATGGTTCTGCTAAAGTGCTAATCATCACTTACATTGTACTACAGCAGTGAGCATATTTGGCCAGTTGGCGAGAAAAGTTTGCCACATCCCTTCAACAATCACTATGTGCTTTTAGTGTATACATTTTAAGCACAACTAATCAAACTAAACAAAACCGTAAATTTGGCCCCTGTCCAGATAGAAAGCTATTAATGACCTTTGTGCCAGTAATACCAATCGCTAAATATCTTGTGGATTATTGCATCAATTTCTGACAGGTGTTGGCCAGTGTTGTACTCAGCACCTCTTATGATCATCAAAAGACCCAACAAGACCAACAGAGGTTCCAGTCTATATTCAAGTTGCAAGTTAATTCAAATGAACTGCAACAAAAACATTCTCTTGTCATTGTCGCTCTGTTACCATGGTTACTTGTGACTGGCCATGTGTCTCGTCTTGTACATGGTCTTATGTCTGGGCTTGTGTAAAGTCTAGTGTCCAGTCCTGTGCATGGTCTCGTGCATGGTACTGTGTAAGGTTTTGTGATGATCTCAACTGGTGATGGCCTGTATATCTTTACCTTATGAAACAGCATGACAGCCTTGTCCATGGTGCTGGGGTTTGTCTCATAGTAACGTGCCGCTTCTATCATGTCTTCACTGGAACTCATCAATGCTAGGTTCATCAACTGGTCCTCCAGGTTATTCTCCTGCGAAATTGATAAGCAGGGGTAAAAACGAAAATTTAACTCGGGGGCTGGCCTCTGGAATGTTTTTCTACCACAGGCCAGTGGGTAAGCTACGAGCATTGTGGGTGATTTAAGAAACCATACAACTATCCAAATGTTTGGATAAAATTCTGTGAACATCTTGACGAACGACTCTCAATGAAATGACTGTATTTGCTTAAATTCAATCCCTGGGAAGCATGCAGATATCTAGGCAACAGTTATACAAAAAATTGCTTCCAAATTTCTTGTACAACTCATAATCCACTTGAAGTTTGAATATGTCCATGGAACATCAGCTTAACAACTTAGTCTGACTATTCTCTATGGCAACAAAAATGTGGCCTTTCTGAGAATATCTTGTCAAGTGTCTTACAACAAGGGGTGACTTAGCGCTCTTTTAAAAATTTCACCAATGACAAAACTGTGATAAAGATGCTCAAAAACCATTTACAGGCTTTTGGCAACTATACAGAAATGTAATCACTTATTCACGGCACATTGGAGACGGAAGAAGTCTTCAAAATGTTTAACTTTACAAGATGTAAGATGGCTAATTCACCTTGCACAGACGAATGGCCTGACTATAGGCCTGGGCCCTTGTAAAGAAGTGAATGGCCTCCTTGATGTTATCCTAAAAGAAAAGTTAACATTTGTGCCAATCACATCTCAAAACTCATCAATCAAGCCTGTCTGCACTGATAATGTAGAATCCATCCAATAATAGAATCAAGCCAAAATAAATTGAGCATTATTACTGAGTTGAAAACTAAAACACCACCATTCAAGGATTGTATTATGTTTGCAACAATAATGGTCAAGTCCAGTTCAGCAGAGTGACTGGACGATGCAGCCAGCAATCATGTGCCTATTAATCTGGAGTGGGGCTCACAGGAGAGTGGATAGGTTGGTGGGATGGGTCAGATGGTGGGATGGACGGGTCATTGGTGTGAGCGGAAGTTGGGTTGGTAGATGGGTGAATGGACGAGGCAGCGGACAGGAAATGGGTCCATATTGTCAGATTAATTGACACACAATTGCTCACTACACAAGAAACAAAACACTGCACAGAATGCATTAAAAGTTCCTGCAGAACAGCTGCCTGTGAAGCATCACAATCAGTTTCCAATGTAACAATAATAACACATGAAGGCTGACGATACACAAATTTGAAAGATTGCTTTTACAAACACATGCAAGACATTGAACAATTAAGACGTCAAATAAAAGTGAAAACAAGTGTTAAGAACAACAATTTGCAGATAAAAATGCCAAGAAAGAAAACATAGACAGAAAACATTCTGTAGAATTCTGTAACTCTTCTCGAAAGGTTATAAGAGGAATACGTCCACTGAAGTGCTCTAACAGAAAAGCAGTAGGACATACATTGTAAAGTCATCACTAACATTATGCAGTAGTATTAACGGCGAGAAAACTTCACAAATCTGAAAAATGCTGAGATGAGTAGCTGCAAGCCGAGAAAAGATCACAGGTCTTGGTGGTTAGATGGTTAGATACTGACCAGTTTGGTTTCCTCGTCTATACTTTCAGAGCTGTCCTTTTTGTTGTTCTGAGTGACAGTACAGTCAGGATGGAGACCAAACATTCACTGAAATACATTCCTTTCTTTCATGTCTGCAGTCACTCCGGAGTGAGTTTAAAAAGTGGTAACGATCTCAGAGTACTCAACTTCTTCAACCTTTCCAATAAAGCTGTAGTTGACCCAGTGTTTGCGAGTCCCAAGCCCTCACCACTGGGCCACGGGACTCCCTACACTTCCAGTGGAGCGCAACAATAAAATTTACCTTCAAGGGCATGTTCTCAGATAGCTATGAAAAAGTTGAAGTTTAAAAATAAACCTGCCAAATTCAAATGCCTCACCGAGGTGAAAAGTGTTGTACAAGTTACCAAATTCCCTGGCAAATTTCATGGTGAACTACACAATCTCTTCTCTGATTAAACACTTTCAGATGAATCTTTTTCATTTGAACAAAAATCAGTTTGAGAAATGGCCTTCAAGTTACAGGATCTATAGGATTAATGTCAAAGCTGAACGTCAAAGGAGAAGAATGGTTGAAGGGTACAGAGAGCATCAAACAGTGCCATACCTGATTCTCATACTGCCTAGCTAGATGGTAGCAGGCTGCCTTATCACCAGTGTCATTGGCTATCTCAGCAGCCTGGAGGGGAAAACACACAAAAACATGATGCCAATTAGAATTCACATGGAAACCCCAAGCCAGGAAAAGATATCAAAATATATTCAATCATAAACTCATCCTTCAAGTTCACAGAATACAACCATTATTGTTCTCCTGTAGACCTGCAGTAGACTTTGTTTACATTTCAGTCTTGGTGAAAAACAAAAGCTTAGAAGGCGGCTAAAATTCAGAGTTCGGAGCAAAACCCACTTTTAAGGACTACATTTAAGACCCAAAAAAAGAATATTCAGGAAGTTTTGCCGGCTCGGGGAAGTTTCCATAGAGGTTGGCATTCAGTTGTTGTTGGTTTTTTTTTTTAGAAAAGCATTCCGCAGAGTTGTAACAAAGAACCCCTGGGATAGGGTGGACAAAAATTATTTGGGTCACAGAGTTCATTGGGAATATCGGTACATTTCGTAACAGTTTTGGTTTTATGCATGATTACAGAAATAGAGAAAATATTCCTAACATTAGTTTTCAGAAAATGGCTGTGGAAACTGTGGTAGAAGAAATTTTGGGGACAGTGTGTGGCATATAGCATACCATACCTCATACATATTCATGATCAAGAACCAAACACTCACTGGTCCAATCATCATCATGTGACACTTAATATTTTCACTGCTTACTGGGTGCACACACAAGGACCCGCAAGCACATCAAATGTGCACTAGTACTGAAGTGTTCCCAAAGAACAGTTCAAACTAGTTATTGGAGCTGTCGCATTTTTTATGTCTGAAATTTTAACGTCTGAGGTATGGAACAACAAATAAAACATTTTGCCGTGGGAACTAGTTTGTCAACATACTTTGGGGAGCTAAAAATAAACTATCCAACCTCTAGACATGTTATATTTTGAAACTAGATTGAATTCCCCCACCCCCCCAAAGTGCTACCTCACCAAAAACACACAACACACAACCATAACAAATGAGTTAGAAAACATTCAGAACTTTCTTGAGTGCACACCTTCTCCAGGTTGCCACAGTAACAGTAGACACGGACAAGAGATAGAAAGTCTTGGCCCGCCTCATAGAACTGAAGAGCCGTCTCCATCTCACCAGTGCTCTCCATGTACTGGGCCCACCATCTCCGCAAAGACCTAGCAACAAGAAATCAAATGGATTCAAGTTTTATTCATAAAACCTATGACAGTTTAATAAACAGGCGCTGAGAATGTCCCTTGCCTTTGGTTCAGGCATTACCAGCATCCGTTTTCCTGAACCTGTCTTAAGTGTTTGTTGAAGACTGGCCAGGCACATACTTATTCCCCTAGTAAAGAAAAATTCAACAGAAAAAAGAAGGGGTATGGTCCTATGAAAAAGAAAGTTTTGTTCTGTTTCACATCATCCACACAGCACATGCGGCTGTGTATTTTCATAAAACTCAGAGCCATGTAAATGATGGCTATTTCAAGGGCTACAATTTTGATGAACAGGTGGAAAAAATCCTGCAGTCCAAAAGATCTGTGGTCATACTTGTCTTTGTTCTTCATGATGTAGGCTTCCAATGCCTGGGGTTCATCAAAGAGCATTCGGGGAACCTCAAAACGGTGTGTATCAGATTTCTCGTAGCTGTGAAGAAAGTTGTAAAAACTATGAGATTTAATAGATACTGCATGAAAGGAAAGAGGAATTCTTGTTTGATGAATAACTGTAGTTGTAACAAATTCTTGTATACCTTGAAGAGGGCTGCGCTATGCATGCATAATTTGAACACATGTCGTTTAATAACCAAAGCTCAACTAACGGATGCTGAACACATTCTTTTCAGCAATGACCAGACAGGACTTGACTACTTGGGACCAGCCTGAGCAGGTTGGTTGCTTCATTGGTAATTGGCGGATCTTTGTAATGCAGCATACAGCAGGGAGCCAGGACCCTACAGTGTTGTGATGATAACTAATGACAGCTCCACTCCAGCGTTTACATTAGGTCATGTGTGAAGAATGACCTGGCTGTGATGAGGATGAATGACACAGCTCCGTGGGAAGTGGCAGCTGCTCACTCGCCAGAGGCTTCCACAGGCTTATGCATCTCTTAAAGCCACAGCCATAACTTTTGGACACAGCCTCAGAGTGTCAGTGCAGAGTGCACCACAAAACAAGAACAGTTAACAAGTTGTAATTGACAGATTTTTCTCTATGGCTTGTCACACAGCTGTTTGGAAACCGGTGAGCCCATGGCTAGTAGCTAACAATTAAAACTGGAAAAGCAATTGAGGTTCCAAAAACTGAATGAAGTTTCTGAGACAGTGGACCTTACTTTGGTATGGCTCCATTGATGTCACCTTTTGCCTCAAGGTGCTTAGCATAGTTGTAGTAAGTAGTGCGCAGGTGGATTCGATCCTGCAGTTCAGCTGTCTCCATAGCCTGGTAAGCAGTTATAATTAGTATTAGACACTCATGATACAAGAAGATATCCTAAACTAAGACTACCTTTAACTGACCAGGTGGGAGGGCTGTTTAAGAACAACGTTGGTACTTCAGCGATGTCGCAAGCACCTAATTCAATAAATCTCAGTATTTTGAACAAAGTATAATTTTGTCTGTACTGCAAGCATTCATGGAAGTTTCCTTTGTTATACCACTGACATATTTTCACACAATTTTCCAAGCAATTGTAATAACGAAGCCAGCAAAAACGTTTTTAGAGTTGCTAAATAGGTCTCTGATGGGTTTAACGTGTTGACCTCACAGCAATAGAGGACATTTTTGCAGAGAGATAATAACTGTAAAGTGGTGGCATATGCTGCAGTGCAATTTACATCATAGATCTGCACACAGAGTGCCCCAGTGGGTAGTTAAGGGTTCTTAGCCAAAGGACTTCTGGTAATGCCACTTGTTTGCAGTCTTCACCTTTCCCCACTGCCCACTGGCCTGGTAGAATTCATTGAGAAGATCGTGTCTGCTGCAGTTCTTGTACAATCTTTCAGCATCCTCCTGCAGTCAAAAACAAGCACGTGACAGATGGAGTCTGAAATGTTATCCGCTATGGGCGTGAACTGCCGCCGATGGCAGTATGTAGTCCAACAAAGACAAGAAACAGATTTTTGGCAATGGAGATGTCTTTTCTATTATGCAGTTTGGGGCAATTTCTTTTTTCCTGTTCTGACACTCACCAGCTGGCCCAGCTGTACAGCCAACATGGCCACCTTGGCGTCCAGCTCCGGTTCGTTCTCTAGTTGCCGTAGCGCCCTCGCTCCCCTGGCATGGCCCATGTTACCCAGGCACACCTTGGCTACGTCCAGCCGCCTGGTCTTCACGCACATCTTGGCCATGTTCTCCCACACCGTCTCGCTACAAAAGAGAACATTTTCAAAGTTGTTTCATTCATTTCTTGTGGAGTACGAAACGCTGCTCCGAGCAGAACAAAAGAGGGTGTGGGTTTTTGACCTCACCGCATAGGTGTGTGTTTATAATGGAGATCAGTGGCGCGTTTGATGCAGAGCACGCTGAGTACGCGTAACGAATTCATTCCTTAATGAATGGTCTTTGCGTACACACAGAACGCATGCCAGAACCTGCTTGGAAAACTTACTACCATCTATCTTTCTTTTGCCGCTTGGGGGTGCACTTCAACTGGGGGCGGATAGGTCTGACGAGGCAGCATTTGCTACACGGCTGTTGATACATGGATACTGTGCAGGGTTCTAGGCACAGTGGGGGGCGCCGGGCGGCACCACCTGGTACTGCAAATTTCCGCCCGGCACTCAGGGTTCGATTGGCTGTGCCGCCCAGCGCGGATTTTCAAAAAATGAACTGAAATATTACTGAAAATCATTAAATGTACCAATTCGATCGTATTTCAAGCATCAGAAAGCATTGAGAACTACGCTCACTACGCTTCGCAATCCAAACTAAAATGGTCCTAGCTAGAACATTGATACTGTGCAATGACAGTATATAGTGTTGTGAGGTCTTCATGCAAAAGCTGTTATAGCAGGCTATTTTGCGTTAATGCCGGATCATGCAGACAAGGATTGCAAAAAGGGGGACCAATTTTCAATAACCAAAACAGAGCAAATGTCTGTGTGCTTTTCAGAGGCAACTGGGTCGTCTGTCTTCTGTGTTTCTTTTTCAGCATAAAGCCACTTGCGGGGGAAGCTGTCAGATGCCATAAAACCTCAAATGCCATATAGCCTGGGTTCACATACCAAAGACATATACTACTTCTTGACAAAACAACCATTACAACCCCACTTTTTCCATCACATTTCTTCTAACAGTCATCCCACCTCTGTAATATTGCTTGCCAACTCTTGGTAAAACCTTCAGCTTCAAGTTCATGACTGGACAAAAAGCCGACAGCCGTGACCGGAACCCACCTCTTGATGAGCTTGATGGCCTTGAAGGCCTCATCCATGTTCCCAATGGTCAGGAAGTAGCTGAAGTTCATCATGGCCTCCTGGGCATTCTTGTCTCCTTCCTCCAGGCCGACAAAGTCTCTCATGACCTGCTTGGCCACCAAGGAGCCTGGTGACACAGTGGAGATGCCAGTGGTTTTCTCCCCAGCCTGTTGAAGTAAGGCAAGTTTGAGCATTAAAGGCAACAGTATAACATGGCAGATGCAATAGACTAAAATCTTTGTCAGATTGCATATTAAAACCATCCAATGCAGTACGGTGTGCACTGGTGAACAAAGCTAATAATCATGTGCCAGTTATTGAAAAATATATTCATTATGCTTCCTCAAAGTTGCTCAGATCCTGTGATGCATCTGATATTTTTGTACATTAACTAGTTTGAGTGACATTATTGGTTCTGTGTGAAGAAAAACCAGAAGGCAAATGGAGGGCCAAGGTCCAATCCTTAAAAATTGGGCTCTGTTTGATTTTTGGGACAATTAATTTTTTTTATGTTTGTTGGTAGAAGTGTGTGAAAATAGACAAAAACTGGCTGGTACTGATGGGCAAGTTTTCATAGCTGAAGCCACGTCCAAGTCATGTTCTTCATGGCTGAGGCTTCCATTTCTGCCACCAACACACTGCAGTGGATAGCCGTAGCCAAAGATAACAATGCCCATATCAGGTGCGGTCTACCCAACTTTGAACTACCCCACTATGTAGTCTAGTTCCTCACCTTCCTAATGAAGAAGTAGTATGGCACTTTTAATCCAAGCAGGTGGCTATAGGCCGATGCCAAACCAAAGCCATCTTGTAAAACAATGCCATGCTCCAGGGTGCTAAACAGTGATATAATCATTACATCAGGCTGTGAAGGAAAATACATGTCCATGCAAACTTGTTTAGCATTCATCAGCATTCACAGAAACTTAAGAGATCAACAATTGCCAACTTACCGTTTGGACATCAAAATACATGAAAAGTGAAATGTCAAAAAGTTGAAATGAATTCTTAACTTTGAGAAATTACCATTTTGGTATTCAATCCACTTCTGAGGAACAAACATAGTGGCGAACTGCACTGAACCAACTGCACAAGCAGAAAAAGTACATGTTGCATTCACGGGGGCCACAAATATTTTCAGATAAAATGCCAGTCAGAAAAGTTACTGTTTTTAGCCCTGGTCCTGTGTCCAACTTACCGGGGAGTCATTCATTGTCATTAGGAGTGAAGATTTCTTTGTGACAGGTTTGTCGTTTGACTCAGACAGCTTGGCCTCACAGACAAGCAGCTTGGGCTCACTGGGATCCCAGTGGATGGCGAGTGGGTAGCGGCCCGCAATGTCGTGGGCAGCTTCTGCACGACCCCTGCAGCAACAAAACACAGGCATTTAATATAAACTTGCCACGATGGACCTACCAGCAAAGTACAGATGACAACTTCATTAGATTTAATCCACAGATTGAGTCAAATTTCATGGCCTCCCTCCGTACAGATATAATTTTTCTGGGACTTTGAATTCAGGATTAAGGCAAACGTGACAGCCTTATGTACATGTCAATGTCAAAATGACTAATTCAGCATTAATTTGGCTGTTGTACAATATCACATGTTTCAGCTTAAGATTAAATTTGGGATTAAAAATGGTAATTAAATTAATCAAAATTAGCGACGGCAAATGAGTTTCAACCAAACTCAGTTTAAAGATTGTATATCAAAACCTAAGCTATGACAAAACCATTGACTTTGCATAAGCCAAGGCTGTCACTGTTAAAGGTCCACAGTTGTCACTGGAATCTGAGTGTTAAGCTGACCTTTCAGCATCGCTTATTTCATCATCTTGACTGCTGTAGTCTTCCTGATCGCCCCGGCCAGTAGCCAGGTCAAACATGGTCACAGTACCCAGGTCACAATCCCATACGTACAGCTTGCTGTTGGGTGTTCCGTTGGACTGAAAGACAAGCATAATGAACCCTGTCACTGTACAGGTAAGAGGCAGAATTTTTCAGTGTACCAAAACAAAAAAAGTGTAATAGGTTGTAATTGGGAGATGTAACTAAGTGAAAAAGTAGTCATGTTTTAGAATTTTGTGCACATAAAATGATGGGATCCATTTTTTACATGAATGCGAGAAGGCGGGACCAACTGGGGATCCACTTTTTTCTTGCATCTTACAGGAAGTTTTCAAAGTGGAAAATCGGCATTACAAGTTGAGATTTTGTTCACAACATGAGGAAATAAAAATGTGGCTTAGCCCACCAGAAACATGAGACCACGTCAGTTCGTTCATTTTAGGGTATTTTACAGTTGTCTGTGCTTGAATTCAAACTATTCTCAGCGGTAATTGCACAGCAAGTACTGACCTTGTTGGCTGTCACGCACACCTTGGTGCCATTGCTGTTGATTTTCCCCATGGTAATGGTGCCAAGTCCGGTTACGGACTCGCTCAAGTTGATGGGGCTACAGTGAGGCTTTGCTTCTCTGAAAGTGAAAAACGGGAAAACACATTAGGTAAAACTTGCTGAAACAAAGGAAATGTTTGTGTCATTTTAAGAATACTTCAGCAACCTAAACGTTTCATAGATAGATTTGTTCAGTTATAAAATATAAATTATTTGGAATTTTGAAGAGCCAAGTTCCCATTAATGGTGTCAGAGCTGCATTAACTGTGATCTGGCATGTGACATACTAACCTTCTGGACACGTCAAAGACCTTGACGAAGCCAGTGGTGGTTGTGACCACTAAGAAGTGACCAGTGATATCCATGGTAGCTGGTTCCCCCTCTGTCTCATTCAGAGGGATCAGCTGCTTCACTGTGCCCTGAATACACACATTGACCAACATGGGTTCCAGTTAACAGCTTGTTTTGATCAAGTTGATAGTGTATTGGTATCATGCAAGGTGGTGAAATGAATAAATGGTGGCAGTTGGCAGAAAAGACAGGGGAAATAGCACAGGTTTAATTAATGACAATTCATTAAATCTGCAGCTTTACCAGTCATCCCAGGCTGTGATTTCACTGATTTTGAATGCAGATCTATTTCAACTTACTGCCATTTAGAAATAATTACAGTAAAAAAATTACAAATTAAATTTCGAATATGTTCTTGGTTTAGGGGGCTGTTAGATTTATTATTTAAATATTGCTTCAAGAAGACTGAACAAGTTTGAATTTTTTGGCAGGCACTAATGGAGTTCGACTGTTCCCCCTCCATTTGTCACCTATAAAGGCGTATATGTGACCAGCCCTAGAAAAATGGGTAATAATTTGCCAGATTCAGGTTGTGAGTTTTTGATATGGCTGGATTGTGTACATCACAAGCTACAATTTGATCAATTTGATATATGAATGACCCCCTGTAGTGCGCTGCATTCCAGATACATGTATATAGAGATTTGTATATCCACATTTTCGTTTTCAATAAAAGCACATTTCAAGAAAAAGCTAATAAAGTGTAGCACTTGGAAACACAATGCTATACAGGATTTCTTACTGAATGATCAATTTTTCATCTTATTCATCAGTATCCATGTTTGTAGTCACAAATTATGAAAATATAAATATTATAGAAGCTTTTAAAGGAAACAAATGCAAAACCCTATTTTTGAAGAAATTTTGCCCTCTTCAAATAGAACAGGCCATTATGTGTTTTGGCATGGTGTAACTTAATACCCTTTTTTGAAGAGCGGGTCACATATGAGCTTAGAGCACGTATTTATAAGCAGCTGAAGAGATCTCAGACCAGCCTACCTGGAATGTTCTGACTTGTATCTTGCCTGGCTCGGTGGTGTATGCATTCTGCTCATACAGGCACACAAGGTTTGACTCAGTGGAAAATGTACCTGAAAGGTGTGAATTGGTGGAAAAAACCCAAAGACAGTGAAAAATATTAATACCATAAGATTTGAGACTACAAAGAAAGAACAAGGGAAAAATACCGCTGGTGTGAAACTGGAATCAGAGGACTGCGATTCAAAAGGGGGAAAAATACTGATGCTATGCTGAAGTACCAGAAAAGCGGAAAATAATGTCACTGTAAGGTTACAATCACAGGGGACAGCAACATTGGAAAGAACATGGTGACTAGTTTTTACATAAAATTGTCCATAAAAACATGTACATGTTACATTTACCTTCAACAACCAGCATCAATCCTGACACATAAAGGTAGCACTGAGACTAGTGGTCTACTTACCAGCTGCCCTGATGGTGGATGAGATATCATAGACGACTACCTTCTTACCATTCCAAATGGCTATGTGTTCCTGAAGAAAGCCAGAATTTGTACATAAATCGGCTTATTAGACCCTGGCAGTATTTTGACAAGAGCGCCTGTTAAATGCAACTGCACAGGGAACAGCAAGAAGTGACAAGCATGCTTGGTGTGACAAAATCCCAGGGGTCAACCATCTTATGGCCCAATGGCCTCAAAGTCCTAGCCTGCTAGCCCCCATAAGTTGGGAGTCAAGTTGGCTCAGTGGTTCCTTCCTCGCCTTGCAACTCCCACAACTTGTTTATTGTCAGGTTTCCACTGCAATCCATTCCATTGGACATCTTTATATCAGACTGGCATTATATGCATGTAATTAATGTCACAGGACAGTGGCAAACTGCTTGCCGATCTTGGCTACACCGATACCTTAGTTGTGTAGATGCCTTTGATGTGTATGTCTGTCTTGACCTCATGGTGTGCCCCAGAGCCTAGGATGTCCAGGGTCATGGTACTGGGTCCTGTCTGTACAGCAGCAACCTGGACAAAACACGAAGAAGGCAAATCGGGCTCACAGACGTGGCAAGATTCTAAGGACACAACCTTACAAATTATCAAAGGCTGCAAAGCCTCACAATAACCTGAAAGTTTGAAAAAACTCTTTAAGATCCACGAATTTCGTGCAACAGCTACAAAAACTCAGAAACAGCACAACAGAAGCAGCCTGGTTATTGGTATGGGTCTGATAGTGGTACTTCAAAGCCCTCAATCTGAAGTGAGTTTCATATTCTTGTTGCCAGTGGCCCGCTACCTGGACAGAATTTAAAGGTTTCGTCTGCACAGAATTGACATAAGTTTGTGTACAGAAGACACACAACCAGAATGTCAGATAAAAAAAGAGATTCCCAAATGTCATACCACTCTGTGCACTGGTTTTCAAATTCACAACTGCATCAAAGGACGAGAAAGCAAAAAGAGGAATTTGACTGATCATTAGACGGAAGAGTTCAGACGGACGGGCGTGTTACCTGATCTTTGATGTGCGCATTCATGTGGAGGGCATGCAGTACAACCACTGTTCCGATGCTGTTCAGTGCCAGGTAGTCCCTGCTAGTACCCCACTTGGCCTGAAGAATGTTGCCTTCTAAGACAGAAGGGGCCTGCATGAAGGTATTAGATGAATTCAGAAACAAGTCAAGAAGCTATATACACCTACCAATCACATGAACACATATCAGGTTGCCAGTCTTATCACATACTATTACAGTGCACACTTTCACGCAGTATTCATAACTTGGTATCAAGTCCATGTCTGACGATAGCTCACAAGGTTTATTTCAGAATTTATTACACAGTGCTTCAAATCAGAGATGTTAGATTTCCATAGGCAGTATTTCTTGATGAAATTAGAATTTGAAGACATTCCCAAGTCAACAAAGAACATAAGAAACACCCAAAAACTTTCATTATTAAAATAAAGACAACGTTCATTAGGTAAATTTAAAAAAAGGACCGATTTTGGGAAGTGTTTAGTACCTGTAGTTTCCATTTTGTTTCGCCATCCTGTTTGCGTGCCATGATGCCTTGTGATGGGGCAAATTTCCACATAGCTACACGGCCTTTGTCTGTCCCGCCAACCAGCACTCCTGTAAATAAGAGAAATAAAGGGTTATAAGAAATAATATAAGAAATAAGACTTAAAAAGTACTTCACTCCTGGAGGCTACTATGCAATTTCTGTCATAAAGCACACACACACCGGCGTCCACTTCCAGTGCCGACAAGAATGAACACCACATGTGCCTCACATAAGGTTTGACAACACCTAAGGAGTTATGGAAATTCTGTAACTAGTTCCTGGATGTATGCAATCACATTTGGCAGAGAACCAAAATTGATAAATAAACCAATCACTGAGTATCAAATCTCTAAATTTTTGTCCAAAATTTCTGTCTTCCTCCACACTTGAAAAAGTGGCCCTTGAAATAGTTAGAAATCAGTTGCTTCTATTCAAGCCCAGCTACCTAGCAATTTATTAAGTGCCAAAACACTTCCTTCTTACCTTTCTTTGAGGAGTAGGCAACACAGTTTATGCATTCTCCCGTCTCAAAGCCCTGCTGAGCGTCAAGACCCAAGATGTAATTGTCATCTTTGTCCAAGTCCCACATTCTGTTTAAAATGAAAGCCACATTTTTAAAAGTTGCCAAATACATAAAACTATACATCTTTAAGCCATGCGTCATTTTGAAGGAATTTTTTATCTTGAATAAAAGTAAAGGTATTGAGCCATTTTTTAAATCTTTGCCTCAAGACCAGTTTGCTTTTTTATCTTTGTCTTCACAGACACGACCAAAAAATTTAGGGCCTTTATTGTTTGAACCAAATAATAGTGTTTAATGTTCAGAAAGCAACAAATGAACCAACTTACTTTGAGTTCTTTAAGCAGGAAATATTGTAGAACTAATTTATGCAAAAATCCCCCCTTAGAACAACACACAAGTAGTACACGTGCCATGACGTTGGCTAGCAAATATTTCCGGGGCAAAGCAAATTCATGTAAATTACCACTCCGTGAAAGCGAACCTGGGTTAAGAATACTGTTTTACTGTCACGTTGAAGGCTTACCTGATGACACATTCTCCGCTAGCCGTTGCCAGTAGGCCTTTGCCAGCCCACACCATATCACAATCTGTCTCAGTCACTTTCCCACTAAGCTTCACCTGAAGGTAAGAAGTGAGTTGGCAGTTATATTCAGGGCTGTTTCCTGTCTATCAACTAACAATTGTGGGTCTTAGCATGCAAACTGGGTGAAACTGGGTGTTAAGGCGGGTTCACATTTAGCATGAAAGCAAGCATGAATGTGATTTTGTGAGGTCAAATTAAATATCTAGGATGCCAATTCGCAAAGCTGAACAGATTTCAACACGAGCAAACTTCCTTGCAAACATTTTGCGATGTCACACTTTCACTCTCACATTAATCTGAAGTATGAACTGGCTCTTAGGTGCCTGTTAATATGCTTCTCCTTTTGTCCTAGGTTGGGAGATAGCCGTGAAAGTCCACTAGCTGCACAATGTTGGTGTTTGTTGCTGACAATTGCTGGTATACCAGAAGTACCTCTCAAAAGAAATTATATGTTGATATCCACAGAACTTCATTACACAAAAATAGTCTTGTACAATGCGATGTCCAATACCGGAATAGCCTAAATGAAACCATAAAAGCAGCGCCCACTTTATTAACACTTGCTCTAAAGTTGAAAAATCTAATACTTTCTGAATACATCACCTGTACCGACTAGAATTGGATTTTGATGCGTTGTATTATCTCCTGCCTGTCTGTGTTTGTCATTTGTGTCATTGCCAAAAACATGTTCATGTCTTGTATTGTCCTATGCTATAATATGTATGTCTGTAAATGGGTTAGGGTACAAAGGCAATTTTATGCTTCACCCTTTACCTAAATGTTGTTCTTTAACGTGTATATTGTGACTAGCCATCACATCAGATGACACTTAGATTCAAGAACGACTACCTTCATAGTTTCTGTTGTCTTGCCATCAGATGACAGACTGTACTGGGCCAGCATGAGAGACTGGGTCACCACCACCAGGATGTTCCGATGCCTGTTGAATAGCATCTTCTTGATGGGTCCATCTGCAGTTAGGACCTGGCTGCAGGTTCCTTTATCGTCAATGTGGTAGCCTTTACCTGGGAAAACAAGGAACACAAACTGGTGTCAGCATTCAGCCACTTAGAGTTAGAACTCCAAACACAATTCCGCTTTGCACTATTTGCCAATGAAGTCGGAATGCACACAGAACAAAATGCGAGTTCAGACAGAGGGACTGCAGTGCCTGAATGTGACAAAGCAAAGATTCGGTCAGATGCCCAGTCTGGACATAAGACATCAGACAGTGAGGAAGGCTCCCCCATCCATTACTGTACTAGCTCCTATTCAGAAAAACTCTCAAGGCAGTTACTCTGTACAAAAGCCAGCATAAAGCTTTTGCCATTTTAGGGGAGCTTCACGAACACACAGCTATCTTGTGCTTAGGTTGTAAATGCTGCTTTTCACTGATTAAAGGCTGTGATAAACAATTGCTGATCACAATTTAGGAGCTGTTTGCGATAGTTTTCCTGTCTGGCACATTTTTAACCTGCCTATCACATACACATGTATGCTGCCCATCCCTAAATAAAAGCAACCTGTTGGAAATGGGATTTCAGTTGCAAATTTACCTTCTGTGCCACCGACATAGCAGGTCAGACCATCATTATTTGATCCAGGGAGCTTGAGGGAATTCTTGTCCCAGGTGAACATGTCTAGCGCCCTCTGGTCCCCACTGACAGCAGCTCGGGCGAGGGCCGAGGTCTCACTGCACGAAGCGACAAACGGTCCAACAAAAGATCACACAAACTGCTAGTTGTGCATATATGCAGCAGTCACACATTTTTACTTAAACCCTAGTCATATAAGAATACAAATACATAATTTGACTGTCTTCTGAACTTCAATGAACCCAACGAACACAAAGTGGTCATGTCCCTGAGCAGGACAATTTTCTTCAGTGCTTTCCTATAGTAGTTACATATAATTAGAGCGTGCACAGAGAGGTCCCCTGAAAACATTTTTTCCTGACTTACGCAGCAATGTCGGTGTCAATGCCTGGCTGGAACACACACTGAGTTGTGACCTGATTCAACTCTTCCTTGCAGAGAGGTGTCGAACCAAAGCGCCCTCGCCCGTCACATTTCCACATGACCACTAACCCCATCTGTAGCAGGGAAAGCAATGCCCAGAAATGTCTTTGTTGGCAACCTGTAAGACTCAGTATTCCTGCCTGAAGGTCGGAAGAATTACAACCTTCCTTTCTTAACACTTCAAGCAGCGGAGGTCAGGTTGGCACAGGGTAACTTTCCTCGCCTTCCACCCCTGTGACCCAGCTTCAAATCCCACTCACTCCAACATGTGGATTTAATTTCCAGTTGCCGCCTGCATGATTCTGTGGGACATCCTACAAATATTTATATTGGTTTTTGGTTCCACCTCTTCAACTGAAACAGCTTGCATGCAACAAACATTTGCAAAAGGGCGACTCAAATCCTAAATCAATGATCACAATCATTGAATTCTGCTTGCATGTAATTCTACCAAATCATCCCTCTTGAGGGACTTTGTGCCACATTTTAAATCTTTGAACGTCCCTTTCTGACAGGTAACTACATGGTTCACATGAGACACAAAGCCTCTGGCTTTAAACTGCAGTATATCAATGCACAGAACAGGCAAATTAGGCATTAGAAGAATACCCTGTGGAGGAAACCTTGATCCTTACCCTGTCTGCTGTTAATGCACGGCTCCCGGCATCATTCCAGGCGATTAGGCAGACCTCTCCCTTGTGCACCTTGGGCGCTTCGTACAGCTCACGATGCTGCTCACTCCACACGTGGACCTCCCCATTCTCCCAGCCCACAGCCACAGAGGGCTTGCTGGGGTTCCAGGACAGGGCCGATGGTGAGCATGACCGCTGGACATTGGAGTTCTCTATGGGCTCTCCCTGAGGACAGCAGAAACACTAAGAGGTCACTTTGCTGACAGGCGCAGTTTAGCGAGACGCTGTCCCAAATATGACTTGTCTGCTGACATTAGACAGTGTTCCACTTGCAAAAATGTAAATAATAAATATATATACAAAGTGTCTTCATCTTTAAAAAAGGCTTAAAGGCACAGAGGAAGAGGAGAAACTGGACCTAACCAGCATCAGTCAATATTTGAAATGGTTGTGAAAGCAACACATCTGGAGTGCACAGAACCAAAGTGTGCAGAGGTACTGGAGGCAAAATTGGCGCAGCGTCAATCTGCCATATTCCTAAATTCAGCTGACAACTTCCAGAAAAACCTACCCATATCTGCTGCTAGTGAATTCAAATATACATGTAGTGTGAATGATGCTCTGTAATAACAACTTATGACATACAAGGCAGGCTAGAAGTCAAGCCAATTCCACATCAAATCACAGCTTAAAAAGTAAACTCTATTCATTTCATGACTTGACTAGAGACTAAATGGCTTGAATTACCTTGTGCAGACCCCACCACAACTCGTTACCAAAGCTGCTAACAAAATAAGAGAATGCAAAAAAGGAGCGACACCGGTGTTTTCATACCTCTTCATTGTAAAGCTGAACGTAACCACCCCCTGTTTCACCCCTGGTGGCTACAGCCAAATACGGGTGGGTAGGATGCCAAGCAATGTCAACATTAGCCCCCACAGTGGGAGTTTGCACACGGTGGTCAAAGTAAACCGTCATCGTGGCACCTACAAACAGTACTAAACAGAGAAGGGAGCCCTGTTAGACAAAGAATTCACAAGCACTTGGGATGTTGAAAAGATCATTGTAAATCGATTCGTGATCCATGATTTTCAAGCAGGATGGAGCACAAAAATTCAGAAATGACTTTGTGTCAGAATGAGCAAAAGTTGGTTTCAAAAGAAATTGCAAAAACTTGCATTAATGTGCAGGTGTTTTGGGGAACCCAAAATACAGTAGGTCATATATTCAGTGATCTGAATATAACAATGTTACATGTAAGTGGGAGGGATTCATAGGCTGAGTTAAGGTATTTATTAAACTGTCCAAATTGGGGGGAGGACTCCCTGATGGCAGAGTACAGAGTAAGACCGTGATTAAGACAAAAGAAAATATGTTCTGGGGATGATAGATAGAGTCGCGCAATCAGTCGAATCTACTTTAATGCTGTTATTGTTTTACTGCTGGGCACAATCAGTCGACCCCTGCATGACCGCCTGATCTCAGCACAATCTTGCTGTTAATAAGTTTACAATAATTTCAAGGTTGTGGAAATTGTTTCAACATGTTCACAACGAGGGAAGTAAAGTGAGAAACTTCAAACAGGATTGACTGAAAGCACCAAACATTATCCTTCACTGGCTTTAAATTTGTACCTAATGTACATCCATGCTTACAGCCTCTTTGCTTTCACGCAGATCCGGAGTGAGATCAGCGATCTGTTGTTGGTGCACCGACACTAGACCTGGCCTAATGGATAGTGCCAGCCAGTCCTGGGATCACTGATCACGATCCAGATCTGTGTGAAACAAACAGACCTACAATGTATTGTTCCTGAGGATTGACTGGTTCTCCCAACTTCCTCATCATGATCAGCATGAATATGTGTTCAGCGCAATTTCGAATCTTTCGCAAATTTAGTGTTCTCCATCCTGAGTAGTGCTGAGTTGATTTACCTTTGAATGAAATCCATTTGTAGGATGATCAAAAAAAAAAAAAATAATAAATAAATAAATAAATAAATAAATATGCACAAGACTCAAGAATGCGCTGAAAGTCACAGTGGGCCAGTTGAGCACCATCTTTGAAGGTGCGCAAATTTAAAATTTGCCTGTGTGTAATTTTTAAATTTTGCCCAACCACAGAGATGACAGTGAAATTGCACACAGTGAAATAATTATGTGGCACATAAATTACAGGCAACAGTCGTATGTAACAGACTGGCATCAACTAGATGCTTTGTACAAATTCAATTTAAGCATCGGGTCAATTGTCCGGTCCAGTTCCGCACATGATTCGCGCTGCATAAAAAACATGGCACATACAAGTACTTTGGGACACAGGTACATGCTAGCTGCATACATTCTGACATGAAATGAATTAGTTTATTACTTCCTGCCCTAGTTAGAGTAGTCCGAGGATTCCTACAGAGTACTGAAGTATGACATCATTTGAACAAGGAATTGTAGAGCCAGTGAATGGAGGGAGCTCAAGCGTAGACTTAAATTCCCTCTCAAAAAATCCTTAGAGCTATTACTTAAAAAAAATCTGCAATAAAAGTAGGTTCCAAGATGAAACAAATAACAATCACGGAAAATACGAATGCTGAAATGGCCAAATAAAACACTGTACTTGAATTCTAGCCTTTACCATGTTTACTCAAGGCAACAGTTTCCAGTTTGACTGGTGCACAAAATTGCGCACTTTCAAAGACTGCGCTCAATGCTGTCTGCGCATACCCCCAAAAGTGTGGGGTTCAGCGTCTGCAATGCTCACGTGGGAGTGCAGCAGATGCTGAACCCCACACTCCACAGTTCTGGTGATAGTCTGCACAGATTTAAAATATGCCCAATTACATAAAAATTGTGTATGTAAAATTGTGTAAGTTGCGCAAAGTTCTAATTTGCACACTGTCAAAGGTTGTGCTAAACAGGCCTAGGGCCTAGTCCACCATGTTCACTGACTCAGCATCTAGGGCCACGAGGCCTATATGTCATGCATGTCAGTGCCACGCATGTAAACATGTATGTAGGCAGGTAGACTTGGCACAGTCAGGCTCAGCACATGCGACATAACCCACAGGGGGATTGTGAATTTGGAGACCCCCAAGCATGCCAAGTTTTGTCATTTTAAGTTGTGCAAAACTGTTCATTCCCCCCATTACCCAAAGACAATGCTGTCTTAACTGCCCTGACCCTGTTTTTTGGAAATTTAAATTATGAGAAATTGTGACTTTCCTACTGATAAACCAGCCATGCAAATTTGACTCCACCACCACCCACAGTTTTCCCTTATAATTTCCCTCAAAACCCTGCCCTCTTTTTACAACATCAGCCATACAGTTATTGAGCATGATGTCACAGTCATCTACCTAGAGGAATGTACGTCTCCCGTCTGTTACAGAAACAGGGTCCCCAAGTTCACAATCCCCCAGGTCCCACAGTCAAAGCATGGAGGTAGGAAGACAAGACCTTGTCCATTGACACTGTGATCACAGCCACGGTCGCGTCGAGCGTATAAAAAGATACATTTTCACCATTGATCAAGAACTGACTTCATAATCTACAAACTCAGTGTGATGAGTTCTTACATTTCTCAAGGTAGTTGTCGATCACAAAAAGCACAAAGATCTGATCATTTCTCACGAGCTACAAGGCATAAAATCGCAGCACACTTCACACCGCTGTCTAGCAACACAAAATATGTTGAAGATTGGGTCATAGGTCATTTGTTTCAACGGCTGATGCATGTTTGCGCACGCATAGCAGATCAGAAACGTGAATTCTTTGCGTTGGAGATAATCGATTTAAAACAGTCGTTGTAAAGGCTCGAGCAACGGTTTGGGGAATTTTGTCATTTTTCTGCGAGTCGATCGAGTCCAGGTCGTAGGATGTGTTGTTTGTAATAAAACCTGCTTGAAAATTGGATTTTGCCTGCTATATTATTCCCAGAACACAAGTAAGCTTTCTTTCTAGTTTACTTGGCAATGAAAAGTTGTTACGGCTCTGTCGATACTATACTGCGTAGGGCCTGTTGATGTTGTGTACTGTGTCATGTGTACATGTACAGAAGGCATGGCATATTGATGGAGGCCTAGCCTACTTGAACTTCTTTTTACATGTTTATACCCAGCAAGAAATGAGACCGAGGGGTACCCCCCCCCTAACGTGTCCAATCC